TTTGCATTAGTGCGGCGGTCAGGTGAAAGGCTAGAGGTCACTGATGGTCACTGATGGTCAGTGACTACTTCTGTTGGTTACTGGCCTTGCCGATCGCGGCGAGTCCGAGTAAGAGAACGTGAAGGAAGTGACGAACCACCACGAGTGGCTACTTAGTCTACTCTATCATAGTACACTATCGATCAGGTGCAGAAAAAGGAAGAGGGAGAAAGAAGAAAAAGGCAGCATCTTCAGACCCTTCAACTTATCCACAATGTGTGCGTGCCATCGCTGATCTTGCCAGAGGAGCAACTCTGGTACGCTGGAAGGTTCGCCCCGAACCATCCTGTCATCCCCAGTTTCCCTGCTTCTCCAATACGTACAGTACAGTTACACTGCTCAAACAACTTCTTCTCCTAGGGCGAGCCATGGCATGAAATCAATTACTGGTTCGACCAGAGATCTTTGTTTGCCTGGCATCCTAGCTTATGTACCCAGTACTCCGTACAGTACACGGCAGCTGAGACCAAGGGCCACAACTTAGAATGGTGGAGACACTGTCGGTCCCTGAAGCAATCAATTCATCGAGAATCGAGAATCGAGAATCAACCCTTGTGGGATCGAGGTTGACGGTCTATTAATATCTCTGCTACCTTTACTGCTCTTTCTCTCTGCGCCCGCCCTGACTCTTCCCAGTAGATGCGGAGTCGCTCAGCCCGTGGGTCTTGATCCGCCGCTAAATTCTGGTCACCGTGCGACAATCCGCCCTGATTGACGGATGCCATCCGCGCGGCCTGGCTCAGCACCGAGCCTGGACGGGGGCAAAACACCGCGCAACTTGGAACACGAGACGATTCGCTCGATTTAGTGAAGCAAAGGCCCTTTCGCTTACCGCAGTTGTTCACTGGAGCGGAGATCAGCGGCTATTCGAGGCCTTTGCTCAGCACTAATCATGGAAGTGCTTGACTACAAATGACTCCGATCAGGATAAGCTAAGCCAAACGATGGCGATATATACCAATCACCGACCAGCCTGAAAGCGACTTCTCGTTGGGACGGCCGGGATACTCGAAATGGGTAACAGGACACGAATCGAAGGTAGTAGGCGGGCGGGAATGCGAGCGACGTGATAGTGAGGGTCTTCTGCAGTTACTATTGGCATGGCGTGGAGCGGTGATTTCGATCTACTGACGCGGATCTCATTGCTTTGAAAAAACCGAGACGATTCTGATCTTTCCATGGCCAGCGAGCAGCGAGCACTGTCAGAGTTTCTGCAGGAACCGGCGCCTGTCATGCACCTTTCAGCTGAACATGTCAAGGCTGCCGCTACCGACCGCCACAGTAACATAGCTTGCAGCTTGACACGACCGTCTAGAAACCTCCAGAAAATATTGACCGTCACAAACAGCCCGCTTCTATCTATTCATGGTTGTCGACGAAACGGGTCCGGCTTGCTTGAGCTCCCAGAAAGCAGAGTAAACATGGCACAAGACAGGAACAGAAGACACACAAACAGATGTTGGACTGGATGTCACCCTGAACGGTGCTTTGTCCTCGTTCAGCACCAATCTCCGATCAAGGTCCGATTGTCGACATAGTAACGATAGCCCTGGCCTTGTCCCACTCTCCCTAACTCTTCAACCCACTAGGACTGTACGACTACCGCATGGGACAAGAGCATCTGGCCGATCTGATTGACCAGGGCGAGCTTCCTCGCTGCCGTCCTATCATACTACAGAATTGGATTGACAACCATAGCAGCTTCCTTCAAAAAGCTTAAGCACACCAGTAAAAGTCTGAAGATCGATATTGAATTCCCTTAAACGCCGAGCGAGATGAAAAACAGATAGAATGAAAGGTAAAGCCGAGAAGCCAGAAAGCCGAGGAGCAGCCTATCCGAATCTCTTCTTCCTGGCTTCCAAAGCCTGGGCGTCCTTTTCACTTAGACTGCTACCCTTGTGTCCGCCTCCATTGTGCTGCTGCTGGCGCTGAGTCTGACCTTGACCCTGGTTGCGATTCCCGCGACCCTGTCGCCGGGACTTATTCCGGCCGCCACCGAAATCGCGTCTCTTTCCTCCCCGACCACCACCCTGTTCATTCTCACCGCGACCACGCTTGCGCGACTTCTCCTCCGGAAGTGCCTCATCCAGCTTCTTCACCCCAACCTCGGTTGTGGGGGCCGCGACGGCAGCTGAGCCGAACCGCTTCGCCCGTTCCAGCTGCTTCTCTGCAGCTTCAATGGCAGCCTTGGACTCCTCCGTGATTCCAAACTTCTCCGCCCGAGCCTTACGCTTCTTCAGCTCCTCCTCCATCTCCGTAATTGGAAGGCCCGCAGCGAAGTTCGGGGCCGGCTTCTGCTCGGCCTCACCTGCAGTAGCGGTAGCGGGAGCGTCCGTGGCAGCCTCAGGCTTCACCTCCGCAGAAGCAGCAGCACCCTCCGATTCAACCTTAAGGTCGTTTGTGGTAGCAGGATCGGTGTCTAGCTTCTGGTTGGGTACAGCAACAGGGTTGGGGACTTCCCCCTTTCCACCGGCCGCGATGGCAGCAGCCCCAGCCTCTGTGGAGCTCTTCGCAGCGGCCTCCGTGGCAGGAACTTCGTCATCCTCCCAATCGATGACATCATCCGCTGCTGCTGGAGCTGCAGATTCGGTTGTCGTATTCGTAGCCTCAGCGGCCTTGTTATCATCCTCCTGGAGGCGAGCCACCATTTCCGCTTTCTTGCCGTTATGCGGAAGATTCCGGGACTTGAGGATTTCGACCAGCTCTGCGTTGGTCTTCTTGCCGTAATCGGTCGTCATGGTGTATAGCTGGTATGCGATGTACTAAGTCAATTGACCGTATGGAGAGAGACAGTGGAGAATAGCAGGCGCAGGACGTTGACGACGTATGTGAGCGGAGGTGGTATTTCGATTCGAATCGGCTTGGCGCTTCTAGGACCCGCTGAGATGGTCAATTCCGCTTGGATTTCCGAATGTGCGCTTTGCTGAGATGATGAATACGCGCAGCGTTAACGAGGGAGATCTTAGAGAGCGATGGAATAGATGGCAGGAGAAGTTTAAAAAAAGCGCAGCTGGTTGGGGGACGTGTTTGAGACGGGAGGCGACTGTTTGGCTGCGGTTTGCCCGTTCCGGAAGAGCTATCACGTGTAAAGCTGACGTAAGGGCCATTGCTCCTTCATCCAGAACTATACCTTCAACTATACCGAACAGAACACCTGCTAATCTTGAATTGAATCTTTAGGGACTGCTGACCTGACAGATGTCTCATTCATTCGCATGTTAGTACCTCAGAAGCTCGAGTGAAACATTTGGCAGTTGAAGTAGAGTTTCTATGCGGCCAATGCGCAGCTACTGTATGCCGAACTATGACATGGCAGGCGAGAGACACCGGCAGCGCCAGCTTTTGCACCGCCTCTCCGCAGACAGTGCAACTCATTTCTGGCAAGTCAGCGTTAGACTTACTGCTATAAGAAAGCTGGATTACTTGATGCCTGGACTTGTTCTTCAATATTGACAACAAAGTGACCAAGAGTTGTCTGTTATCACTGGAATCAAACAGCTCTTCTTATACTCATGCTCATGTTGTGACTACTGTCAGTGATATTTGGCTGGTGGTTTTGAGATGATAGTCTCGGGTCTGTAGAGTAGCTTGAGGCTTGATATATTGTTCGCTCCGACCATGCTTGAATGTAGTTAGCGAGAATCACTTGAGTGGTTGGAGTATTTGCTGATATATATATACCCTTTTTGGCTTCAGATCCGGAGTACTTTAACGATGACTCCTATTGGCCCGAGACCAACACATACGGACATGTAGCATTCAAAAGAACCGCCTTAAATATCTCAATCAGCTACTTTAAGAAAGCAGCACTATCAATAATAAATTAT